CATTCAGAAAAGATTCAGAGATTCGGGCATTGCCCACTCGCTGCCGCAGGGATTTGGAACTAGACTCCATGCTGGTAAGTAGGGGACGGTGGAGGGGGGGGCTGGAGGAGGAGGGAGACCATGGGGGACCCCTGCCAGGCCTGATACCCTGCCTCCTATCTCACCCACCCGTGGCTGCCCTGCCTGGCCCCAGCTCCTGGCTCTTTAAAAAAAAAAACAAAAAAAAACCCCACTCACCAGCTGCTGCCAGGTGGGGGGGGGCTGCCCCCCACTGCCCTATGCTGGGGGGGGGGGGCTGCCATCAGCCCCCCGAACCCCTCTGTCATGACCCCCCATCCCCTGACCACTCTCCCACAGTCCCAGCTCTTTAAAAAAAAAAAAAAAAGAGTGGGGAGCTGGGGCCAGGAGAGTGGGCAGCAAGTTGGGGCTTGTGACAGAGCCCCCCACACAGCATGGGGCAGCGGGAGACGGTAGGGATCACTCCCCAGCCCGGCAGCAGCTGGTGAGTGCTGGGCTTTTTTTTTTTTAAAGAGTGGTGTGCTGGGCCTAGGTGGGGCAGCCATTGATGGGGCTGGGAGAGCGGGCAGGGGATGGGGCCAATTCAGAGATTTGGCTGATTCGGTGTTGGCTGAATCTCTGAATCGTATTTGGCCAAATTGATTTGAGACAGTGATTCAAAAGACCAAATTGAATCACTTTCCCCCAAATTGGCCGAATCCAAATCCACAGCAAATAGTAGCCACTTCACACAGGCCCAGTGCCTACCAATTTACTGTATCTGGCTTGGCCCCAGGCTGCCCCTGCTGTGCTCATGTGGGGCCAAGCCTCACTCACTCCTGCAGGGGTGGTGCACACTGCACTCCCACCCTCACTTGCAGGCCCTGACCCTGGCCCTGCAGGTAAGAAAGTGGCGGCAGCAGCAGCAGTGGGGGGATGGGGAGTGGCAGTGGTAGTGGGCAGGTGAAGGGAGCCGGGTAGCAGCAGGTGGGAAGGCAGGGGGGAGGTTAGGGAAACAGCTGGGGAAGGGCGATAGCAGGCAGGGGAGGGGGAAGTGGTGGTAGGGGCAAGCGGGAGCAAAGTGGCAGCTGGGCGGGAGCACGGGGCTGGCAGGGACCTAGGGCAGGAGTATGGAACCTGGGCTGGCTGGGGCATAGGGTCCACCTGGCTCTATCCTACAGGGCTTGCATGCAGTTCCTGGGTTCTCCACAGAAGCCTCTGGAAGGAGTTCCATGCAATGGGGCCAGTGCCCCGGCCCCATTCACTGCTACGTGCAGGTCATGGGGCATGGTAGGGAGCTCCGCACTATGGAGTCTGGCTGTCTCTGCTACTCTCCCAACTGCTCTAGCCAAGCCCCATGACCTGCACAGCCAGTTTTATTGCACAGGACTCAGGCATGTGAGTTCCGCGTAATGGAGCTGGCAGCCCTGCCACATGCAGTCCTGGGGCTTGCCAGGACCTTATGCCACAGGGAGACTCTGCCTGCTGCTGGCAGCAGGGGTTGTGCACAGTGGGGGGGGACTTGTTTGTTGGGGGGCACTACATGCACACCTCACCATACACATTCACCCCACATCCCACCACAAACCCCATACTCACCAACAGACACACCCACACATCCCCACAACCCCCCCACAAACCTCCCACATCCACAAACATATACACCCTCCCCACACCCTACATACACAGCCCTCAACACACGTACACCCACAGCCCCCTAAAAACCCCATACCCACCCACCCATGCCCCCTCCACACCCTTCCACCCCTGCACAATATACAAGAGTAAGACTTCATTTTGAGCTATTATACAATCCCCCATATATACACAATGCAAACACGCACAAATAAGAACAAAAAATTTTTTTGAAATAAAATTAAAGTATGTTACTGTAGATATTTGAGTTTTAGTATATAATTTGTTTTTTTTCGGTTCCAAGATGGCAAGCCCCCTTCCTAGAAGGAGTACTTCTGGGGACAAGGGGAAGAACTTCAAGTGGCAAAGGTCAGGGGTTCGGGACAGGACTTACGGTCCCAAGATGATGATCAGGAGAGGGGTACCTGTCAAGGGACGGGACTATGCTTGCAGCCCTGGACAGCTCACCAACCTTGTTAAGCAGCCCTCCAGCTGAAATAACTGCCCCACCTGTGGTCTAGGGGCTCTCAGTCCTCGGATATATTTTTTTACGTAATTGGTGGAGCTGACTTCTTATCTTTATTGAGTTCTGTGGAAGAAGAGCAAAAATGCAAGCAGGACATGCATCCACATAATGCATGGAATATTTTGTAATTTGACTGGAAAAGGCAACTTGCCATCTTTAAAATTCCCTACCAAAGCAGTATAAAATGAGAGATGTGGATAGAATTCATAATTGGAGGAATAATAAAGCAAAATGGAGGCTTTGGGTACAGACCATAAAGTCCTAATAAGACTGGTCCAGAAAGAATAGCAAGCCCAGACTGTAGGTCAACTAACTGCAACACTAGCAACACTTGCAGAAACATTTTTTTTCAGGAACACTCTCATAGCTTCATTCTACTTTGTTCATGATGGACCTTGAATGATAAAACTACCCAGTCATCTTTGAGTGGATGCCAATGTTGGGATGCCATTGTAGTCTTGGGTTGTGTTTAGCTCCTTCAGCCCTGGGTAAAAGCACTGCTACTAGCCATCAACACTAGGGCTGTGTGAAGCTTCAGTCACTGATTTAATTCGGCAGAGATTTAGCCCAATTTGGCAGCTGAATCTCCAAATCAAATCAGGAGACCCTTTAATCTCTCCGAATCAATTCGGAACCCTCCGAATTGATTCGGAGAGATTCGATAATTGGGATGTAAACACAGCTTTAAATGTTTTTTCTACATACCTCAAGGTACCAGGTGGCTCGTGAATGCTGAGATGCTGAGGCGGATGGAGCACCCCTGTCCATTTCTGGGTCTGCCACAGAGCATGCGAGGGACCCCCTCCCCTGCCTCCCAGCTCAACAACTGGTGCCTCCTGGGTCTGGGGGGGCACCCACGGTGCCCCTGTGGCTGATCGCTGAGCTGGTGGGGTGGGGTCCCCCACATGCTTGGCACAGACCTGGAAGTACTTCCAGTCCACAAACTTCCGGTCCACTTCTGGGTCTGCCACCAAGTATGCGGGGGCTCCCCTGCACTCCTGTGGGACGCTCCATCTGGCCCACCATCTCAGTGTTCACGAGCCGTGCCTGGTATCTCGAAGTATGTAGAAAAAACATTTAAAGCTGTGTCTGTGGCTGAATTGCGGATTCTCTGAATCAGCATTGAATCTTCAGATTTGGCTGAATCGAATCGGGACAGTGATCTGAATCAATGAATCGAATCACTCTACCCGATTCGTCCATATCCAAATCGAATACTGCCTGTTTCGTACACCCCTAATCAACACTACCATCACAGACTGATTTGGAATCCTGTGGGAAGTAGTACTGGCAGTGTTTTGGAATTATCTTTCACATCTTATCTAGTGATTAGCGTACTGGACAACTTCGGGTTTAACATCCAAATTTTGGTCAGTGGAAGAAATTCTAGTTTTAATTATTCTCAATTTTTTAGTAGTCTGTTTGAGACTTGAGATTTGTGTGCAGGCACATCAACTGTGTGGGAGCAGAGGTTTTACCACAGAAAGGAGATTATAAAGGAATTGAGTCATGAGCGGGACAACCACACACATGGCTGCATCTTAGAAATGAAAGAAAGTCCATGAAGCTGATTGAAGAATCGTCAAAGAGAAAATTAGAGAAACTTGTGAATTCCAGGGAGGGAGCTAAGATACTCTGCCAGACTTTAGAGAGACAGCTACACCTCATAATGTCTCTTTTGTTTGTAGAAGCATATATAAGCTTGTTTTCATAATACAGTATAACTTTGTGGGTATATGTGGGATAATTGAAACAGAAAAAGGCAGGGCCCACCTGTTGTTTCATCTGTGTGTGGGGGAGAAAACTAAAATAGAGATAAAACTCTGTCCCTTTTAGTTGTACAATGATGGCAAGTTATTTAGATTTGCTGAGCACATTCCCACGAGTGGGGAATATGCCTTTCCCTAGGGATAAACAGCAGTGGCATACGTGCCTCTGCTAGTTGTCCCCAGGCATGCCCCTGTACATGCACTCTGGCACGCGACAAATTGACCTCGGTAGGGTAGGGGAGGCTGTAGCCAACACCTCGGCTGGCCCCAGCAGCTTTATCTGAGGTCCTGGGGGCCTCCCAGGGTTTCAGCAGCAGCGATCCAAGCATGCAGAGTCTGGCCAGCAGCTGGAGCATGGCTCTGGCTGGCCAGGCTCTGGTTTCGGGTGGTGCACACTGCAACCACGTGCACCGTGCTGTGCTGCTTTTTTTTGGGGGGGGGGATTTTTTTTTTTTTTACATTGGATTTCCCGGCGTCAAAAAAACCTGCTGCGCTGCGACTTAGCAGCATGGCAAACACATTCATGTGCATTCTTGTGGGTATGTGCCCACTGAGACCTCTGACACATCAGAGAGCATACCACGCCTGTCTGAATAAAAAGGAGAATAGTGAACTTGCAAGATTCAATGCAGTCTAAATATGTTCAGACAGCAGAACCTGTGTAAGCCTTCTGCATGCAGAGGAACTTTTGGATCCATTTTGCAGCCTTAATTCCTTAGGAATGAAAGTAGCTTGTTTGTTAGCTTAGTTCTTTAATGTGAGATGAGACTAGGTAAACTTTAATTTTCTCCAGAAGCATGGGACAGGGTCACAGCTGTGGAACAGGAGGTGCTGCTCATACTAGAACTTTTAGTATCCACAGTTTGATTGGTATCTTATTAATCTGTATATCTGAAAACATGAATACTTCTTGAATGGTGGCAGTACTGAGCAGAGCTCTGTGTTGTATTCCATAAAGCAAGGCTTTAATCTGTGACAGATAAAAACATGCTGTTAGTATGATTTGTTTGATGGACAGACAAACTTAAATCTTATAAAATGTTGATTAATGGATTCTTTTATCTGTATTTTAGTTGTGGAGAAAGAGAGCATTGAGGACTTCCCTCCACGATATGCTGACTTGCCCAAAAGTAATATGAGTAATTTACTGGCAGGAATAACTGATGTTTTTGCTTTTTATATTGAAGTGTATTCAACTTAAATTTATCTGTTGGTATATTGCATCAGCTTACATTATGTTGACAGTGACAAATATGAAGGGCAATAGAGAATACAAGGTATTTTTAGTCAACCTTCTAAACAAGGCATATTTTGTGTACCCACAAAGTTTTGAACACGCGCGCGCGCGCGCGCACACACACACACACACACACACACACACACACACAATTTCACATACTTATTTTTGTGGGAGCTTCCACCACATCTTTCTTGAAATAGAACAGTGGCTGGTTCTGTTCCTACATATTTATGTATGAAAAGTCATTTGGACTCAGTCCTGACTTTGTTTTTCTTTCACTGAAGACTCACAGTGGAAGTGTTGCTTATGTAAATTAATCAAGATGGTGTCCATTGGCAGTAATGTCTTTTTGTAGCGTCAAAATGTCAGCATTGCCCTATGATATTGTAAAGAAGAATTATTTAGCACAATTGATCCTAAAATTAAAATTTTTACTTTAAAAATATATAATATTGCATGTTTATGGGGGAAATATTTGTAGAAGGCCAACAGAAGCTTCATTGCACTCAAGTCACCCTCAGCGTATAGTAGAAAGTGGAAATTAAATAATTTCTATAAGTTGCTGCTGGCCCTTTGCACTGGGTGAATGTTACCCTTTGCTATTAAAATGAATATTAAATTGCAGACAAAGTTTTTGTTGGATATTTAGAGAGCTGATGCCAGAAGACGCAAATAAGTTTAATTATTTTGAGCTAGTTTTCCCTTTGGGTACTTAGTAATTTTTCTCTGGCTAGCTTAGATTCAGTAACATTTGAGATGTACTTTCCAAACAGTGTATACATAGAAACTTCAGAGTTTTTGTTACTTGATGTTTGGTTTGCTTGCTCTCCAGTAGAACTATAATACTGGCTACTGAGAAAAATTAGTATCTAATATTATTTTGGCTGTGTTTTTGGCCTACCATGCAAAGATCAGATGTCCTATGGCAAGACTTGTTCATTGTAGCAGCTTCAAAATATTAGAGTTAAGGGTTTAGCATACATTTTTTATTTCCTATACATTTGAAAGATGAGCACAATTTTTCTTTTTGAACTTATTTTTCATTAGCATATCTTTTCTTGAATTCAGGTAGAAGGTAGCTATACCTCAGTCTTGCCAGTAGAAAGCTGGCAAGGTGGGAAGGAAAAGCTGTATAGTTTTTACTAAATCTTCATTGTGGAGCATGTACTGGAGTCAGCAGCACTGTATTGTTGCAAAGTAGGTTATAAAATAGGTTCAGGAATCTGTTAGTGTAATGGCTGAAGATCCTCTTGATTCCTCAGATTCTACCTTCTCTGCATCATACTCAGGATAATGGTCCTGGGTTCTGGAACTATGAATAAAAATGTTGACACCTGAATTATGTCAATAAATATAATAGTCTCAGAGCAGAGCTTTATAGGTAAAATACTTTGTGCCCTGCATTGGCTTACCTCATCTTCAGTGTGCTTGAAGATGCCAGGAAACAGGACTTACTGACTCCCTCATAATAGCATCTCTTCTGTAAATACATTTGAAGTGTTTAAGTAGAATAGTGATTTGTGTAAGACTTAGCAGTATCTGTCTGCCTTTGGCTTTTATTTTACACCAGTTTGTACCCCCTGAATTTGATAGTTAATATAAGTCTAGTCTATAGAAGCCTAGGTGATACTCAGTTTGAATTTTGCATGATTTGGGGTCATGATCACTTAGTTTTGCATAGTTCAACTCAAAACCATAAATCAGACTAGGTTCACTCAAAATTGGCATGTTGCCTTAAGAGGTTCTTAAATAATTTGGAAAACCTGCTCAAAGTTTTGAGTTGTATTAGGAAAATCTTATATATGTAATACAGAAACCCACAGTTTGTACAAAAAATGGATATGTGATATTCTTCAATATTTTGACAGTATTTCCAAAGATGTGTTCTGATTGCATAAGGTATAATAGTTTCCATTGTCTTTGTTTTGGGTACTAACAGAATTAGGATAGCACATAAGCCTACCAGTTACTGATTTTCTTTTTTCCATGCATACTATTATTAGGAAAATATTAGTGATACAGTGGTTCTTTAGGAAGTATTACTGAGCCAATAAGCATATCTTAAATATTTGAGAAATTACATTACTGAGTTAAAATATGTTGATGGTAGAGGTGCACCGATACATTGGTCCGATATTGGATTGGTACGAATATAAAGAAAAGAAAATTGGCTATATTGGAAATTGGCCTGATGCAGCCAATAATTTGGCTGATAAATGCCTGTGCATACGAACAGCTGCAGTGAGCATGCAGGCAGTGAGGAGCACAGCTTGGAGAGTTGCATGCAGCTGGTAAGTATGTTGTGGTGGAAGGGGAGAGGGACGGAAGGGGTGTTGGGGACAAATCAACATCTCCTGTGTTGAGGGAGGGAGTGGGGCAGGGACTGGGACAGGCACTGCCCAGCCAGTGCAGGGTGGAGTGGGGTGCAGGACGGAGCCATGGCTCATGCGGTGGGGAAGGGGGGCACATGTCCCCTGGATCAGCGTGGGACAGGTGGGCTGCAGCTGCTGGCTGGAGCCAGGGCAGTGCCAGGCTCTTCTTGGTAGGGGCTGGGCTCGGGTTGGGCGGTAGTGGCACTGGGAGTGGGACTGCAGCCACCCCAAATTTAGCCATAGCCCCCACAACCCCTCCTCCCAGCACCGCTGCCACCCACCTGGTGCAGCCGCGGCTCAAACCCTGCCTCCACACACGTGCCGGGAAGAGCTCGGTCTGTGCCGGGTGGGCAGTGGCGGCACTGGGGGGTTGGGCTGGAGGGGCTACAGTGAATTTGGGGTGGCTGAAGCCCCCCTGCAACCCCTTCCCAGTGCTGCCACCACCTGCCTCAAGCCCAGCTCCCACCAAGAAGAGCCTAGCGCTGCCCTGGCTCCAGCTGGCAGCTGCAGCCTGCCAGCTGCACCCTGCGCAGATCTGGGAGGCACCCCCTCCCCCGTGCTTTCCTGGGGTGCGTGCAGTGGTGGGAACCCTCCCCCCCCATGCCCCCTGGATGAGCCACAGCTCTGTCCCGCACCCCGCCCTGCCAAGCTGAGCAACATCTGCCCCTACCCCAAACCTGCTCCCTCCCTCACTGCAGGGGGCATTGATCTGCCCCCCACCCCTTTCCATCACAACAGGTTTACCAGCTGGATGCAGCCGTATAGCTGTATGGGGAAATCGGATCAGTATTGGCCGATCCTTAAAAATCGGCTGTTGGTATCAGCCCCCAAAATTTCTACTGGTTTGCCCCTTAGTTGACGGAAGTTTATATGAGGATAATGGTGTCTTCAAGTTGATTTTCAAGCTTAGAAGGGATATACCAAGACGGCAGATCATAACAATTAATACTGAGGATCTGTTGTACCATCATACAAATATACCAAGCACTATAAAAAACTACATGCTCTTCTTTCTTTTCTGTGAGCTCCTCCATGCATGGTTATGTACAATATTCCCATGCAGTTCACAATGACATACTCGGATAATAAAAATGGAATGCACACTCCATTATTCATGCTGCTTTAAATACAGATTGTGAGTATAGTTTTGAATCTAAGTGCAGCAAATATATTATGGGTGGTTGTCACATGACAGGGTGAACTAATTTGTTACTAAATCAGAATACAAGAAAAACTTAGAAATTAAGATTTTTTGTTTTACATACCATATTTTAAATTTGGTTTCAGTTAGTTGTTTCTAGTTAGGAAACATTACTAAGTTTCCAGTTCTAGTTCTTACTTACATTTTATTAAGGAAAAACAGGGAGGGAGTAATAAAGAAATAGAAAAAGAAGGAAATAATAAAGAAGTAGAAAAAACATGCAAGCTTTATACTGTCTCGAAAGGAAGGGCAGTTAAGAATTCATAGGCTTGTGTATAAAATTAGATTCTGGGTCAGTGTAAGTCAAGAGAATTTAGTTTCAATAAAATCATAGACTCAACCAAAATGACAAGACTTAAGAGTAAATCATTTGTAACTCATGTCCTCATATTTTGTGACTTTGGTACAAAGACCATGAAAGCCTGTTTTGTGTAACAGCAAAGAAGAGAGGGAATCAAGCCTTTAGAGGTAAAAATACCTTCTAGAAATTGTTCTGTGCAATTTTGACTATTTCTAATTTTGTTTTAACAGCAATTTTTTCTTTAATGCAATCAGGTAGTGTCTTTAAAGCAAAAGAACTGGATTAATATGCAGAAAGTGATATCCTTTAAAAAAAGACTTTGAAAGACTTTGAATGACTTCCAGATGCGACTGCCAGTATAATTCTATATCAGAGTGACCCTATAGTTGCCAGTAGTAAATTTCATAGAAAGGTGGCCTGAAGTAAATAGGCAGTTTAGCAACTAAGTCTGTTGTTTTGAGCATTTCTATATCAAATGCTCCATTTTTTTGTTACACATATTCATCTCTTAAGGTACTAGGTTCCTTTATTTGGGGGTGGAAGATATTAAAAGAATTTGAGAAATAAGAACAAAAACAAAGTCCAGGATCCAGCTGGCACCACCTCATAGAGCATGGGTAAGTTGGGGTAGCCCATGGGGGTCCTAAGATCCTGACCTAGCCCATAGGATCTGGATTCAGAACTTGTGGAGACAGCTACAAGTGGAAAGTACTTGGCATGGCTGGGTGCTTTGTGCTCCTTGATAAAAGTATGCTTTGGCTTTTGCAAAAAGCCTGATCCCATAGGTGTATATTCACTCAGTAAAAGGGAAGCTGTCACTGTGGGTCACAAAGAAAATAAAACCCCAAGTTCTCTTTGGTGTTGCAAGGGGAAACGGATGGCCTGGATGAGAGCTTAGGTGAAATCCTGTTTCAAATAGGTATGGAAAGATGGCAGAGCTGAGCACAGATCTTTCACTAAAGTGTCCTGACTCTACTACTCAGCTTGCAGTGCAGCAGGAACCACATTTGGGGAAAAAAATATTAAGGAGATTCTTACTTGGTCACCTAAACAAGGTCCAGATTTAAAAAAAAAAGGTTTAGTACTTATCAATTCCTACTGAGACGCTTCTGGCCAGACTTTCAAAAGCTCAGTATCCAGCAGGGGGTGGTGTGAGGAGGAGCCGGGGAGACTGTAAACTGAGTACTACAGCAAACTGCAGATTCATGAGGTGTTACAGTATTTCTTTAAGGATGCCCTCACCTGTTACTAATTATACTGTAGATTATTTACTCTGAAAGAATTTTCAAAATGTAATTTACTTCTCTCATGTCCCTCTGTTTGGGCAATGATTAGTTAGATTTTTGAATTAGTGTATGAACTATTTATTTCCTCCAACTACAGTCTAAAATTATTCCCCCCCCCTTTAAAATATTCTTTTACTGTGTATTGATTTTGTGTATGCACTTAAAAACAAAACCCAGTTATTCATCATCACATTCAGATTTATTTTACCGTCAGGGTCTGTCTTTATTTGTAAATATAGGGGGTATTGTACAGTTCTGTAGAAGAACACAGACCTTGCCCTCAAGAAATGGTAAAGACAGGGAGGGGAAAACCCTCAAACAAATCTATGAGTATGGGAGACTCAAGTACAGGATGAATGAACTTGCTGAGTGAGACATACTGTGTTTAGTTTTGCATGCTTTTGGTTGTTAATTAAACCTATGTTCGTTTCTGCAGACTTGGGAGTTTTGAGGAGGGGATTATTTGAATGCACTTGAATGCTGTGGTGCCAGGTTTATATAGGGCAAGGCAACATTCTCTACTAAAACGCCTTTAAAAATTCCACTTCAGTCTAAATTTTTTTTTTTACCTACTACTGTTAAAGGTAACAGCTATGAATAATTGAATGTCAGTGGAGGAAAAATGTTTATTTCTCTATTTTTTTTCATTTTGTTTACTTTATTCACTTGACAGCAATTTGTGTCTAGTCAGTTTCAGTGTTTCCTGTGCAGTCAGTCAGTCCCTATTGTTTGCCTGGCTACTTTGCACAGCAATGAGAGAGAGAAAAATACATTAAAGAATAGGGAAATGCTATTGCAATGTCACAAAAATTAGCAAGGGAAGTCCAAGGCAGGTGTTATATCTAAAGCTTAACTTGTTTAACTTGTGGTTAGCTTGCTTTTTAAATTGACTACATTTCAAACTGACAATGTCAATTTAGTAAGACTGTTAAAATAGCGTTACTGGTAGTATTATATTGTCATTGTTGGTTTTAAATATTATTTCCATCCCTTTTAGGACCAGAATCACACACCAGTTTCTCAGTATCGTCAAGATCCTTCTTTGATCATGAGATCTATTGTCCATATGACTGATGCTGCTCGTTCAGGAATTATGCCTCCTACTCAGCTGACTACCATTAACCAGTCTCAGCTAAGTACACAATTGGGGCTAAATTTAGGAGGCACTAATTTGCCCCACACTTCTCCATCACCTCCTGCCAGTAAATCAGCAACTCCTTCCCCATCCAGCTCTATAAATGAAGAGGATGCAGATGAATCAAATAGAGTAAGTTATAGCATATACTATAGTGAGCAAGCTGTGCGTAGTTTTAAATGGGTGATAGTAATAATACTGACTTCCAGCAGCAGTGTGGTCAGGTAAAATATGCAAACAGTGCAGTAATAGAGAATCTGCTTGTGGCAATATTCATATGCTGTGGGTGACCTCTTTGCTTAGTAAAATGATACTTGCTTATGAAATGTATATCACATCTCTTCAGTGATTTTTGTACCTATATGCATGCCTACTCCTTTATAAGGGATACAGGTTGTAACCATATTGGTCTGTAGGCAAAAGGAATTGGAGCTCATGGTAGACGTGATATCTTTTATAAGACCAACTAGATATTTTTTGGGGGGGGGAAATATTTCTTTGCAAGCTTTCAGGCGCACACAGCCTTCTTCAGGTACAGGAGAGTGCAAAGACTATAAAACTTCTCCTAGGTTGAAATGAAAAATCATATTTCACAGGAGAGCTGAAGGTGTGTAAGATCTCCTGTTTGGAAAAACTCCTTTATAACAAATTTCAAACTTTATGGATGTGATCAGCCTCTTGCTTCATCTACTTATAGCAGTTTTGACATTTTAACATTCCTTGATGTTGTATATTTAAAAATATATACATTTTGCTAGAAATAAAAGATGACCTGTCCCTTTAAATGAAAGTTTTAATATGCCTGGGGTTCATTTCCATTTAGATTAAAATAGACCTGTTAGCAAAGGGTCTATTTTAATCGACGTTCTGGTCAGATCAACTAAATGTAGTACAGTGAAAATTTATTTAGAGGCCCCATCTTGCATGTCCTATGTGCAGATCTCCTGATGAAATCAGTAGGAATTGCATTGTGGAAGATGCACGCTGTAGGGTCGTAAAGAATCAAAGTAAAATAAAATAGTCAGAGGAAACCCTTCCTCTATCTTATACCGTTTGTGTCATCATTTATCCTCAGAACAGGAAAAAAACGGTACAAAATACAAGGAACAATACAGGGTGTGTACTCCCTATGACCGATGAAACTGCTTCTCAGAAGAATCTCATGTGCCTCAACATCAGGGGATTTTTTTTTTAGGAGAATCCGTGGCCTGCATTTGGTGATTTATATGGATCTGTGAGGCTACCATTCCTTCATGGTGGATGTGGATGGGAGCAGCTGTGGGTGTTCACAACAGATCTGTAGCAGCTGAAGAGTTGCTATTGCTTTGTAGCCTGAGGGAAAGATTCCTAACCCCTGACCCAAGCATGAGTTAACAGATTTAGCTAAGGAACCGGGTCATGTTTCATACCTTCTTACTTTTGAGTTTCTATTGGTAAAATCTTGTCTATGTAGAAAACATATGCTACAGAATGTAACAAGTATATAGCACATCCTGTATTAATTTTTACAGAAATTACATAAAAGGCATGCTTATGGGACTGAATCTGCAACCTTTATTTATATTGAATAGTAATTGCTGGTACATTTAGACCTTAGCAGCCAATGGTGTTAAATGCCTGAGCAAATTCTAGTTTGCAGAAGTAAGGGTTGCAATCAGGATTTCAAAATGTTACTCATCCATTAATCTTACTCATTTGTTGTTTAACAGAACTGTTGAGAATTTATCACACAGAAATCTTCTTAATTGTGTTTCAAGTACTGTATAGTATACTGTGTAGACTGTGGGCTTTGTTGTTGTTTCTTAGGCTGCTGGAGAGAAAAGAGCTGCTCCAGATTCTGGCAAGAAGCCCAAGACTCCGAAGAAGAAGAAAAAGAAAGATCCCAACGAGCCACAAAAGCCAGTGTCAGCATATGCCCTATTCTTCAGGGACACACAAGCTGCAATTAAAGGACAGAACCCTAATGCTACGTTTGGAGAGGTTTCAAAAATAGTGGCATCAATGTGGGACAGTTTAGGAGAAGAACAAAAACAGGTAACAAATTGTTGACTGCAGTGATGCTTTAGGGTCTTACAAGTAGTAAAATAACAATCTTTCCAACTAAATAGCAGATCCTCAGCTAGTGTAGTGTTGCTGCACTGAATTTACACTGATTTAAATTGGCTGAGCAACTGTCCTCCCAGTAACATCTTGTTTTATTACTCTTCAGATTGTAGGATACAAGTTTGATACTATTTCACATAATAATTGTCTTCAAGTTTTTAAATTTTTAGAATCAGTTTGGAGAAAGCAACCCAATACCCCATTAAGACCATCTGCTTAATAATAATAATTTGAAAGCTTTTTTCCCCCTTAAATTCAAAAGTTATAACAGAAGAAGGGCGCATTTGCTATTTCCTTTGATCTTCTTCATGAATCTGTGTAACAAAGCTCGTGGGTACCAAAATTTTGAAGCCAATTCACTGTGCTTCATTACAAGAACCTAGTGTTTGAAATATTATTTATCATTCATTTTAAAATTTAGTACAGAATGTTGAATTTTCAGAGATCAGCTCTTCTTGCTTAAGGGACATTCTCTTTTCCATGCCCATGGAACTCCTATGCAGGAATTTAGAAAATTACAGATTCTTGAGGGTCTGGTCTATTGATAATTTTGCACAATTCTCATCAGTTGTTAATGGGAGTTATGCTTGCTGGTGATGGAAGAAAAGGCCCTTTAATTCTAAGCAGAACAGTGCAAAGAAGAAAGAGGTCTAAGTTCTTTTCATTACAAGTATGGTAATATGCAATATAGCTTGGTTTGGTGATGGATATTTTAGTTTCATTCTTTTATTCAATTAAACTCCCAGTCTTAAAAATATTTTCTCAATTCTGAGATCTCCAATCACCCCTTAGTTTCCTCAACTTGGAAAACTTATTTAGGCTAAGATATGAAAGACTTCTTATGATGCAGACTATAAGATCTCCTTTGAAGGTCTTAGCCTACTCTTACTGATGCTGGCAACTTTAAGGTGAGTTATCAATACATTGAAAATCAGATGGACAGAAATGAAAGGCTATTGTTTCCTATATCAGTCAGTTGGACTTTTATGGTCAACTGCATTGGGAACTAGGTTACATTAATTTTGAGCACTTTCTCCACCATTTGGAGAAAATGATGTTTTTCTACGTGTGCTCACACAGAACACCTAAGAAAATCTTTATTGCTTAAATACATTGATTGATTTTTGAGACCTCATTCCATTCTTATCTATATCAGCACATGAAATTTCAGTCTTCCCATGTCTCTCTCTACCTCTTGTCAGGACAGTTTTTGCTCCTAGAGAGGTAAAGTATGCACAAAAATCACTGGATGGAGAGAGAAACTATGACTCAGAACTACTGACTACCAGCTCCCAACTATAATGATTTGTAGCAGTCTTGAAACACTGTTCTGATAAGAGATAACAGGGTAACCAAAGGAAAACATAAGTTAGTGTGGTGAAAAATCCAGACAAACCTATATTCACCTGCAGGTCTAGGGGCAGGGCAGGGCAGTGCATTTTCAGTGCAAGTGTATTGAGAGTTTTAAGGGGAGAAAAATCATATAAATCTGAGTACTTGTGGTCTGTGTTGTAGAGGCTAAGGCAAAATGGTGCCTCTTGTTCCTTTTTATGTAAGTGAATGTGGCCCTATTCTGGTAAATTATTTTATGGTGAAAAGAATATATAAGCTGAAGCTGGTGCTAATTATTATGTCTTTAATAGGTATATAAAAGGAAAACTGAAGCTGCCAAAAAAGAATACCTGAAGGCACTTGCTGCCTACAGAGCGAGCCTTGTTTCCAAGGTAAGCTTCACGGTAAACTAATTTTTAGCAATGGTTGTTTAAATGTGGGATTTTTGTCATCTGAAAAGTATATCTGGAGTCCCAGAGTTTCTTTAATATAATCCCCAAAGATTTTGTATAACAGCTTGACTACATACTGTGCTTGTTTTTGCACGAAAATACTTTGCAGCACTAGTATCACAGTAATAAATATCAGACAGTAACTATACAAACTCACCTTTTTTGGAAGCAAAAATAGTTATGTTGCATAAAAGTAGAGTTTGGTCAGAGAAATATGCCAGCTTTGAGAGAGTCACTATTTGTGCATAACTTTTCAAGGGGCAACTATTCAAGAAGAGGCAAAATATATTGGATGAGGGTAGGCAGAGGGTAAATCACAAGGATTTTTTTGCAGGTAGAGAACAGGAATTCAGTGTGATTGTGAATTTAAAACATTCTGGAAATGGACAAGCTAGTAGGTAGGAGGTAGCCACACAGAATGCTATAACAGAGCCTGGTTAAAGAGAGACAAGAAAACTAACTTGCAGTCTGAAGAAAGACAGGTTGTATGTTCCTATGTGAGATGTAGCTTTTACATAGGCCTTCTTGGGTTTGTTGTAGAGGGTTTTTTTTGTTGTTTTTTATATAGCATATATATCAGTTCCTGATATTCAATCTTACTAAAATACCCGTGTCTTACTAAATGCTATACTATACAATACCTGTATGTCTTAAGAAACTGATGAAAACCAGCTTTCAAGAGCATTTAGTTGAAGGTGGAGTTCCAGAGCATCTGTGTATGTGTGTACCACATAGGAAGGTGTTAAGTGTTCTAGGAAAATGCAGAAACAAAACCCAGACTCAAAAACTGGAAGATTATGCATGTGTATGTGTGTGGGGGAGAAAGAGTTCATATAATATAATGTTATGTTGTCCTCAAGACAAAGATCCTTAATATGCTGTTTCTATTGCCAAGCTGCTACAAGAAAATGCATGCTCAGTAGTAGCCTACATTCATAGGATAAGTAGGTGGAAGGGAAATAGGATCGTGTGTGTGTGTGTGTGTGTGTGTGTGTGTGTGTGTGTGCACTCACTCACTCACTCACTCGCTCCAAATATGCCAAGTGTGTGACAATATCCCTGAGTTTCTTATCTTTAAGCTACCAAATTCTACCCAGGTAACCCCACTTATTTCAATAACGGGTGAAAGAGTTTAGCAATGGCGGACACTAGCCTCTTGTCAGAACCAGAACTGGACCATGTACAATGACAGATTAATAAGGTGTAATAAAATGGATCATTGAATTTGAGCCCCAGGGACCTTTTCTGCATCCTGACTGATCTTTTTTTCAATACAAAACAGCTTCCTTAAAAGTTGTGAATCTTCTTTCCATATCAACTACATCCCTTTTTGTCCCTTTAAGAATGAGAGGATCCTTACACTGATTTGAGTAACACAAAGCAAGGCTCCCTACTTGTCTAACTGATGGATTGGATTTAATTTAATGATAGAAATGTAAAGAAGAAATCAGATATGCTTCTAGTAAAATAATATAAGCTGCTGTAACTTATTTTTGCTACATGAACCAGTATGATAATTATACAAATGCTTAGGATGTATCCTCTTTCTCGTTTCATGTTAAGCCGGTTACATTACCGTATATGATAAAAGAAGGGAACTGTGATCGTCTATAAACCTCATAAAAATGATCTATTTTGTACCAGTAACAGCTCTTGAATCCCTCTCTCAATCACAGGCAGCTGCAGAATCAGCCGAAGCCCAGACAATTCGTTCCGTTCAGCAAACATTGGCGTCCACTAACTTGTCTTCCTCCCTTATTCTGAATACTCCTCTTTCTCAGCATGCAACAGTGTCTGCATCTCCCCAGACTCTTCAGCAATCCCTTCCCAGGGCAATCGCTCCAAAACCTTTAACCATGAGACTGCCAATGAATCAGATTGTAGCTTCCGTTACCATTGCACCAAACATGCCAACAAACATTGCAGCCCCATTGATAAGCTCTATGGGAACAAATATGGTGGCAACACCATCTTCATCTCAAGTAAGCCCCTCAATGCAAACCCAGCAGCATCAGATACAACAGCTACAGCAGCAGCAGATGCAGCAGATGCAGCAGCAGCAACTACATCAGCACCAAATGCATCAGCAAATCCAACAGCAAATGCAACAGCAGCATTTTCAGCACCACATGCAGCAACATTTGCAGCAGCAGCATCTTCAGCAGCAAATGCAACAGCAGTTACAACATATACAGATGCAGCAGCAGCAGATGCAACACATGCAACACCAGTCCCAGCCTTCTCCTCAGCAGCACTCCCCTGTAGCCTCACAGATAACTTCTCCCATCCCTGCCATTGGGAGCCCTCAGCCAGCACCTCAGCAGCATCAGTCACAAATACAATCCCAGACACAGACTCAAGTGTTATCACAGGTCAGTATTTTCTGAAGATAAATGCTCTTGCTACACTGATTTGCATTCATCAAGGGGGGAGGGGCACACTATTTGGCTGAAAACTGTAAATTGTTGATGGTAGTTATGCAGGGATGCATAACAGATCAAATGATTCTCTAAAGTGTCTATTAGATAGGCAATAAAGAACTACAATGTAGCTGTGTATCATCTTTTAGCTGACTATAAATCATTTTGTTTTAAAAAAAAAACAAACAAACAAACAAAAAAAACAACCCACAAAACCTGTGCTCTTTTTCATGTGATGCCTTTTTTAATTTATTTAAGCTTTACCTACAATATGTGAATCAAATCGCTTAATAAATACCTGGACCTTCTGACTGCAAAATGGGCCTTCAGAATTATATAATAGTGAGTAATTATATTGTTCTTTCTCTAAAAGTGATTAATGCACTTAAGACGGTATGAACTCACGAAGTCCTTGAAGCACAGATGTAACTACCTGTAAAATGGTGATTGGATTTCATACAGTCATATTTGTATGACATGAGTAGTTGATGGCATTTTTTGTCATAAAAAATCGTAAATCACAGATTTTTGCCAAAGCTTTTAAGTTTTTCTTTGATGTCTTCAGAAAAACAAATGCAAGTGACTGAACGTAAATGTTTGACCCATCTTTTCACTTTGATTTCTCCAAATAAACCTACCATGCTTTGTAACAAAATATATATTGACACTGTTACCCCTGTTATGTTAATTCGTTACAAAACAAATGTGAATATTATATTCTGTGTTTAAGTGATGAGTTTCAGATTTAATACACTGTATTTTTAAAAGGGAAATGCACTTAAATAAAACTGTTATTACAAAAGCTAAGATTAAAAAAATGCAAGTTTTTAAAATGCTGTAATACTAGTGGAATATTTAAAAGAAGCTCCACATCTGAATAATCATTGTAAATATTTTCTTTAAAAGTTGTAAGTTTTCATATCATGTGTTGTAAAGTTTTCATAAATGAGGCTTTAATGTAAACACTGGTAACATGAACTATTAATTGCTACATTGCTTATTGTGTTTTTATGCTGTTTTATACTTTTTTATGAGTTATGATAGCAGCAATTAAGTTGTTTGTATTTTGCTTATCTAAAATAAATGCTTTTATCTTGCTATAGAATAAACACATTTCAGTAAAACTCATGGGCTGAAGTGTTTAATGCAACAAACAAAAAAGTGTTTGCTTTAAATGTACTTTCTTTAAAAAATGTACTCACCTTTCTTGATTTTGAGTTTGTCAGAAATACTGTATAAATAGGTACTTTATAAGGACTGATAGTATTTGTTCAGGTTTTGTACAGTAAGTGCAAGTTCTTGTGTTCATAAGTGGAAAAACAGCATATGTCTTTTGTGCTGTTTCTGTCAGGGGCAATATATATAGGAAATAGTGTATCAAATTATAAAGCATTAATTTTATTTTCATTGTAAATGAAAATATTATATTTGTAAACTACCTGAAGAGGCAGAGTAACAAATTGTGGTTGAATAGGATTATTTTGAGATGGTCATAAACTAAAATTCTGGATCTAAGACCTCTTGATTTTTGTTGAGTTAAAGATCCAGGTACAATTTTAGCCTTAGGTCATTTAACTGGCTAATCTATAAAAATCACACTTCTGAAAATTCTCAGCTTCATGACTCTGGTCCATCTCTAATTGTCTGAGTAGTGTATTTTTACCAGACGAGCACAAACGATGCATGGAGATAAGAAACCCAAACAATTTTGCACACCAGGTTTGGAATCCTTCTCTTCCAGCATAGAACTGAGATCCTGGTACTGTTTATCCTTTTTAATTCTTGACAGGGAAGAGAAATCCTTTTCTTTTTTTTTTTTTTTCCTTCTCTAATTTCTTTTCTGCACTAGCTGCAGTACAAGTGCAGTATGACCACTATCCCCAGTTGTCTTGCATGATTAATTACAGCATCTGTCCTGTCAGAAGCTATAATGAAGAGGTCTTGATAAAAATTGCAAATTACCACTGGCAACAATCTTAAACTGCTTATGATAAAATGAAAATTAAAAACAGCAAGTGTCAAGCCTGAGCAGAATCCTAATCCTGTTAAGAGGTGGTGTTCATGTCTGCCAGCTCAGGGCAGAACCATAAAAATCAAAATATAGATTCCTAAAAAGTTGCAGTTGTAGTTCAGAGAAGATTTACTAGATGTTGTGAGTTATTAATAATGAATTCAGTTTTCAATATTTCATAGTTCCCCATTCTCTGTTTATTATATACAAATATTGAACAGCAAGAGATTCTAATTATAAATTTATAGATTTCTTGGAGCAGAAAAAAATCATGTATAAGTTGAAGCTTTTCATAATATGCGTTAGTTGACAGGGAGCAGTGATTGTAATAGCCTTAGTATGAGATCTAATAATGTCTGGGAGGGAGAATGTTTATTCCAAATAAGAGAAAGTTTGCATGCATTAGAAATGTCAAAGCCGAGGCTGATTTGTGAAAGAGTTTTCTGGGTGTCAGTTTTAACCAACATTACATAACAGGAACCATTTTATAGTCTATTTTGAAACCTTTAGACAAATGTCTTCAAAAATAATTGCTAAACTACATGTGACAGTAATTGTGTATTAGTTCTGTAATTGTCATTTTGAAGACCTATGAAGTATCGTTTGAAAAATGTCACTAGTGATAAGAGTTAATTACAACTGAAGTCTGTTTTCAACTATTTGCAGTTAGAAGCAGGTGTTATTACACTCATTAAATGATTTCATAAATCCTGGGTTTTATCACATTTGATTAAGTGCTGCTGAACTACTGATGGTCAATTCCAGGAAAAATAGTTTTAATTACTGCAGTTAAAAAAATTAATCATCAAGCAGAACTGTACATTCTAAATGTCAAGATTTTTGAATCATGGAAAATTAGAACTTCCCCCTACTTGTTACAAAATTATATTTCACTTAATCCACAATAGCATATTGCAGAACATCTTGTGTTCAAGTCTCACAAGTTAATGTTCATATTCCTAAGGTCTGAGCAAATAACTTTGCTGTTACAGGTCAGAAATATAACTGCTAATTTAAATCACTTCATATACAATTTATATAGGACAGATGTAGTGTCTGTATGATTTAAGTATCATACCTTTTAAACAATGTTTTCCTTCCTATTGTTAACAGCCATTTCACTATCCCCTTTTTCCCAAGGTTTTAGATGCTTTATCACCCCAGTTAACCACATTCTCCTTTCACATTAACCTAACCTGACATATGATGAAAGAACATAAGGAGGTTTAATTTTTAGCTGACACAGGGTCATTAGTTTCCAACTCCAAGAACAAAGGCTTTAAATACCTTTATGCAGATAATTTCAACTATATATTGTCACCTGACCATTGTGGTTTGAAGATTTCCAGGACAGATGGACTAAATATCTCAAGTTTAACCAGAAGTCTTGTGCTGGCTCCTTTCAATGGGGATTGGGTATTTGAATGGTTCCTTTTCCATTTTTCACTTCATGGAGTATTTTTCAGCACTGGACTTCATTCTAACCTTTCCCTCCCCCCTTTGTTTGGCTTTTGTTTTGCAACAGCTGTTATTATCGTTTTTGGTCAGCTGTGATTGCTGGAGGCAAAATAGGACCAGATGGTGTTTTGCTATGCATGAATGGAGAGTTAGAGGAGTTTGAATTGAATAGGCCAAGTTTGAATGGTGTCTATGCACCACCTGCCCCCTTCAGCAGCAGCATACACATCATAGTAGCATGATCTGTCTCAGACCTACTAGAATTGGATGGGAATGGACAGAGCCTTGTTGGATTTTCTCCATATTTATTGATCTTCCATGCACTAACAGCATAATGCAGTACACAGTCAATTTGAGTTAATTGGATATGACACAGCATGTACATGTAATCTATCACTCTAGTCTCTTGGTACACTTCAGGTTTTGCTGCCACAAAAACATGCATACTCAGTAGTAGCCTACATTAATAAGATAAGTAGGTGGAAGGCAAATAGGATCATTGCACAGTGTATTTTAACAAAATATACTAAAAATATGCAGTTTAACCTGCCAGAGAATAAACAAATACATGCGCTAAACTTTTTTGGCATGGAGTGGATACAGTATTTGGGCGCACACAAAATGCAAGATGCCCCAGGATTTTTTGATTTGCCTGTGAAATTTAAATAAAAGGTTTCTTTTATGTGATAATAACATTACTAACAATAAGACAATGCAGAGGGCATCTGCCTGTTTTAAAGGGTGAGAGCATTTTACTGTCTGATCAACACCAACTAGTCATTAACACATGCTAGTTTACTTGCTCCCCCACATCCAGCTTGGATGACTAAAGGGCTTTCTTGGAATCCTGAAGCCAATCAGTGATGGCAGTTGTGATAAGACTGATCTTCTGAGGATATCAAGGAGCCAAGAGACTTCCCATTAAAAGAAATTGAAAGCCATGAGGTAGAATAGGGATGGTTTGGCCTTGACTGCTTGAAATGCCAAGGTTGTTGTTATAACCATATGTTCAAATGCACAATAAATATAGAAGTCGCAGCTTGACGTCATTACAAGTCAGTGGCACAGTTGCAACCCTTTTGAAAAATCAAATTGTGATGCCTTTGCCTAGGCTGCTGGGTAGAAAAGCAAGCTGTTGTCTTATGAAGCAAAACTTTAAAAATAACAATACCTTCCCTGAAAATTTTTCCAATATTTGCAAGTGACAAGGAATTTCTACTTTTGCAAGGTGGAGCAGCATGGAATCCTGCTGGGGAGGACTTGTCTTGTGAAGTCAACAAAGCTGCTGAAGGTAGATAGATGCACATAAAGGATACAGAAAAAATGGGACAATGTTATTTTAAAATGCTAAAACCTTTAACAAAAGATATGCTGCCTGAGGGGAGCTTTTCAGATATAGAAATAGTGCATGCCTGTGATGCATGCAGCACTATGTTTGTCTCTTCTATGAAGTAGAGAGGAAATGTGTTGTGTCACATCTCCAGTCCAAGCACATAGAACATTCATTTCTTCAGCACCTGCACCAGTCTGACCTATATGCTTTTTTAGCAATATAACTGTTTTGGTCAGGGGCATGATCAAGGGCAAAGGTTCTTCCAAATCTAACAGCCTTGGGCTAGCACAGTTAAGATGCACCACTTTATATAGCTGAAAGCATATCAGGGCATAATGGGACTGGCAGAATGTATATCAGATTCTGATTTTATTTTAATACAAAGTGCACTGATAGCAAACACAGACATTTCACTAACACAAGTAGGGCAAAAATAAATCCTTTATTTTAGGGTATAGTACAGTATAGTTATAGGATACTGGGGTTACTATAGCTGTTTGGAAAATCTCTCTCCCTCCCTCTTTCTTTCCATACAAATGCAGTCCTTCACCCTCACTTCAGAAAATCTGTCCAGAGCATGCTAGTTGTCTTGCACAAATTAAACACCTTTGAACAAGAAGAGTGAAAAAATCCAGTAATCCTTACATTCAGTTCTTGTATAGCCAATGGAGTTGTACTTGGATTTAAACCAAGGCTGCATTTGTCCCAATTAATTCTTTTCATCTTCAAAGTAGTTAACTAAGGTGAATTAGCTGATGCATGTTTATGTACTCCTATGGTTTCATCTGTGTGGTTTGTAAACTATCCATTAGGGAATTCAAAGCATGGATAAGGAACACATCAGACAATGATAGCAACTAGGACCAGAGTGAAGTACTAGGGTTATCTACATAGCATTTAATTCTTACCTTAGGTTTTATCATTTTCCTACAGAAATCAATGGAAGACAGACCATTACCTATCTTGTAATCAGTTGCAAGTTAATTCAATCAAAGGGTGAAATTCTGGCTTCACTGAAATCAAGGATCCAGCTCCCATAACTTCAATGGGGTCAGTATTTCCCTGGGCTAAATTTTCAAATTGTTCAATTCCCCTGTATCAATTCTTTTTGCTTTCATGTATAAGCAATTTTCAACTGAAATCTGCAAAGTTGATTGTCCAGAGCATCTGGGAAAATATTCATAATTTAAATGCATTAAGTAAAATGATAATGTTATTTGGCTTCAGTTAATCAATAACAGGAGAAATATAATGCTTTAGTTTGATTAACCTTCTCCTGTACACTACAAAGTCAAATGAAATCAGAAATACTTTCTTTTTTTAATTTGCACAAATTGGGTTTCTCAGCCTAGACTTCATCTT